TGAAAGAAATGTCGCATGCTTTGTGATATGTAGTACATGTGGCGATTTATCAATACGTGGTATTGTGCTATCATATTTAATCTATTGCACAAGACGAAACATTTGCAAATGTATCACCACATTTAGAATAGTTCAGCAAATTTAAAGTGACATCACTTCGATTTTGTATACTGTTTCCAAAATGGCATCGTTGCGCATTCGTACCACTGGGTTCGCTGTTTACATCAGTGACAACATCCATTTGTTAGGAAGCGAAATAATAGTTATGTATGATGTGTACGGTTCATTTAATTAACACAAAGTGTGGAAATTCATTGTTTAGAATGAGCTGTTCGTGCGAGTATAACCATGAAGTTTGTGCCGGGTATATTGAGTTGTTGGTTGTGTCCTCGTCTTTTTGAACATTCGTTTTGTGCACCACATCACGTGTTACATCACCTTTTTGTGAAGCTGTCATTTTTGTTTATTCATGTGTCGCATCAGTAAACACATACTGACTGCTCATATAATATAATTATACAAGTTTTCAGACAATCACAGTTCTCGGACAGCGACCTCCAAGTTCGCCAATACAGCCGGCAAATAAACCAACAGCACGGAGTTATTATAAATGTGATGAGAATAATTAAGCTTAAAAGACCTGTCCGAAATAAATTAGCATGACTTTCGCCGACGATGCCGCTGTGTGCAGGTGTTAAATGTTGTCGTTTCAATTAAAATGTAAGTATATTTGTTCGTAGATTCAATAGGTATGGTAACGTGAGTCGTGTTACTGAAGATAGATGTGGCTAACTAATAAAATTACGGACAATTTACTAGCACTAAAAGTCTTTGATCTTCACCTGAGTGAAAAAAATCAGTACCTGAACTTAATTTCCATGGCAATAATTAATTCCTTATAGCACTAAAGCCTATTCCGTCGGCCATTTTGAACTGTAAAGATATACTAAAAATACTAAAACTTCAACTTTGATTTATAGCGTGATAAAGTTTTATTCACGCCTATAGACAACTGGACCAAGATGTTTGCATACTAGATATGTGTGACGGCGAGGATTAATTCTTGCTGTGAAGCAGCTGGTCTGAGTTGAACCTTTGTTCATACATCATAAAAGTAGGTTGGAAATAAGTTACGTAACAGGTGTGTGGACACAGATTATATGGGCGGGTGTGGTTGAAATATCTTCGCGTTTGTTTTTTATTATTATAATAGGTAAGAAATGATCGCATTTAGAATTTGATATTGTCTTGTCTTACATATTGTCTTAAATTTTTCTTGGCAAAAACTTAATCAAGCAGATAAGAATCTCATGTTTATGCGCTCACACCGGCGTCAGTTTGTTTTTTTAATTTTTTTACAACAACATTACGTAAGTAATGCTAGTGAATAGTACCACAATTATGCTGACTCGCAGACAGATGTCATAACAAATGACATAATAACGTGTAATAATATGTATATATTGGAACAAAGCAGCATATTTTGAGTTTCACATCGTATACAGGTATAACAACCTAAACTGTCGACACGTATTGTACCTAATTTGAAATAAGATAAACATGAATACCTTTGACTGTGACACTAATTCACTATAGTACACAATGCACTTACAACACCGTTGCGAATGGTCGCCTGTTATGAGCTCCGCCATATTTAGGCACCTTTACGCCGACGCAACGTGTTCTCATCTGTTGTTGTTGATACTGGTAAACACTGCCATCGTTTAATAATCACTCTGGCTTCTCCAAGCCAGCAGCCAGTAAACACCCCTGAAATACCGTACTTGTACAGCCTATGTAATACTATATTCATGAGCGCCCAGTAGTAAAACAAAATACATGATTGTTTTTACCACAAAAAATAAACAGTTATGTCAGTCATTTTTGGTACATGTATTTCAAAAAACATCATCGTCCCCGATCCAATTCCATAAATGCACGATTAACAAAACGAAATGAGTATGAATGAAGTATTTTTTTTCCTTTACCCTTCTGTCAATGTATATTTATAGTTTTGTTGCGCTTTTAAGATGTGTTTATTTTACAATGTTTTGCCCTTTGCATATTCGACTTGAGTTGTTTATGTTTGAACAATCTAAGGTGACGAATCAGTTAATAGTGGGCTTTTTCCAACTCTAATAATAAAATTTGTTTTGTGTATATTGAATAAAATATAAAAAAAACGCTAAAAGATTTAGGTTCGGGTGTTACCTCACATTTCTCCAAGAGGTTTAAACTCCGCCATAGTATGCCTCTTTACATAGGAGTAACGTGCCTCTCGGCTGAGATAGCTCCGCTATTAGCAATACACATTTCAATTAAAGAACTGAAGATATCATCACAGAATGAACAGATCAGAGAGAGGCCCGCCTGTAGTACCTTCATGTGTGATATCAAATCAATCAGACTTGTTGTTTTTAACAAGAAGTCAAAAATAACAAAAATATTAGAGAATTAAATAACAAAATTAGAGAATTGAAGATATCAGCACGAAATGAACAAATCTGAGAGAGATCTTACTGTTGTGCCTATAATTGGCCTTGAGATTTTAACAAGAAGTCAAAATATCACTTTTTTATCAAAAATCACAAGATTATTCATCAGAATTAGAAAATTTAAGATATCATCATGAAATAAACAAATCCGCGAGAGATCCACGCGTCGTGTCTATATTTATAGTATCAAAGCAATCAGACATGCGGTTTTCATCAAGAAGTCAAAAATATCACTTTTTACCAAAAATTACAAAAATATTCCCCAAAATAAGAGAATTAAAGATATTATCACGAAATGGACAAATCTAAATGAGGTCTACCAAGTATCAAATCAATCAGGCTTGTGGTTTTCAAGAAGAAATCGAAAAGTAAAATGTTGACGCAGACGACGGACGACGACGGACAATCACTCATATGATAAGCTCCACTCGACAGTGGAGCTAAAAACAGATGTGAACACGATATTAAATTAATACCTTATGCACTTTATTCTTCAAAATGGGGTTTATTGCTGAATTTTGGGAAATAAGCTACATCGTAACATCTCGCATTAATACTGTTTACCAGTTCACTAACCAGTTCAATTTCAGAATAGTAATAATGTTTACACAGTTGATTACGCGATCGCTTAACGCACACTACACATGATTGTGTATCATTCGCCAACACAACACATTTTGATTTCAAATGAACATTTATTGTAAACATCAGCTGATATGCTGATGACGTATCCCAATGACATATCACCGAATCCTTCAGCAGTGACGTCACTTGTTAAATGAGGTATATACAGTTAGCTTGTTATGTAAGTGTTCAGCACAGTATTCTTAGGGGAAGTCGTAGTGTAGTGGAATGATCCGCTGACTGACAATTGGTGGACATTTTAACTGACAGCCTGAATGGAATACGACGCAAAAAAAATACGTTGACAGGAATATGCAATGTTATCTGAGTTAGTTCAATCCGCGTGTACACGTTATTCTCAGGCGTTAGCTTAGAACGTGACTGACCTCCATAGCCTGGATGCAATATAGTCGTTTCGCTGTTTACCTATTTTGGAAAGTGCGGGTAACCAACGAAACAGAAATCGGAAACCAACGTACAGTTAATCCATCATTGAGAAAAACAAGTTTAACTTTGTCAACAAATCACATTTTAGTTATGTTGACATGCACGTCGCTGAGGTTAAGTCCATTAATGTCGTTGTCGTGGACTAGGTACGAATTGTTCGACAGACGTGTATGTGTTATCTTTTCTGTAATTTTTAGACTATATGTGTGTTCCAGCGATTTTTTGTAATTTTAATTAGTTTTTCTATAATAACTACGTGCCTCAAAACAAGTAATGGTCCATCCCTAGACTAAACTTGTTTTTAAGTCATGGGTATACGTCTGTGATGCATTGTTTGTCTATTCAAGCCTATCCAAGTTATATTTGGAAAGAAATGATTATTGTCATAATATATGTAATGCGTGTTTTGTCTAGTAAAGTTATGTTTATGCTGGATTCTAGACGAACATCGCAATCAGTCGAATATTTTCCAAATTCCCGCCACGCTATATCGCAGGGTGTTTCACCATTCCAGTCAAGTCGTACGCTTCTAGCAAAAATGTTGTTCCAATTACGGGGGAATCAACGAAGACAAAGTAGGTAGTTAGATGTCTTTGAAATGTTAATCCAATTTAGCAGTAGATGCGAATCACTTTACAAAAAAACATCACCCGCGATTAAACTTATTCCGCCTGATCAGAATGAATGCATTTTCAGCAGTGATTATGACGTCATCGGACCGGTATATATATATATATATATGAGTTATATGAGAGTCGCGTTCACGATTACGCAGATGTTCTCAGGCAAAGGAGGTGAAGGTGATTGTGTGACAGCGTGGTATGTAATAATACAGCACTGCCAGATGTAGTGGTAATAAATTTACAAGCAATATGTCAAGTTAATCCATGTAAGTACAAACTGAGGTCATGATCTTTACACCGAATGTGGACTTGCATATCAAAGACACCGATGTGACGACGAATTCCTTCGCGCAATTTGGTCCTCATGAAATCAAATTCCATACGAAAAAAGATGCCCCACCTCGATTACCTTCAATCTAATTTTGTGCTTTTGTTTGTGATTTCGCCGTCTATCAATTCTCTACTTCAAAGAAAAGTTGTTTTCTTTTTCTGTCCGGAATGTTAAATTTGAGGCCATACTACTGAAATCTATTACTCATCTACGATACAGTGATATCCAATCCCAGTCAATATCTCTTCAATCATTTAATTATTTTCATTAAAAAAACGAACAAGATCTGGAAATAATCAAGTAAAATATGTGAAAGATGTAAATGGAAATATAAATAGTAATCTGTCATCAGCGTACACCAGATTTACGGGACTGAAACAGAATTGACATTTCGCCTCAAATTGCGAGGTCAATTTGACCGAGGCCACCTCATCTTAAAATAGCTGAACTTGAAATTGAGTTCTATTTTTAAAAGCGCGATCATCTTTCGCGCGAAGATATTGTTGGGTCAAACTCGGCGGTAGTACCCTTGCAGACGTGACATCTTAATAATCGAATAAACGCTCGTCTAAATGATCTATTGAAGAACGCGTATAGAAGCGGATTTAACATTGAATTGATGTAGCCTAGCCATGTGACTGGCGGCCACGCTCCGGGATCTATGCAAAAGTCACAAAAAGGATCAACAATATTAAAAACGAAAAAAGGACACCAGCAAATGGTAAAACATCCCATGATAATCCCTAAAGTCTTCGCAGCTTTCTTCTCCGCTGCCAGGGACACTCTCCGACCGTGGTGGTGAGGATGTCCGTCACCGGGACCGTTGCGGGTGTTGTTCCAGTTCATAGTTGCCCGTTCCAGGCTCTTGATCTGTTGCGCTTGTTTCCTGGCAGCTCGGAAGATGAAAAAATACGCAGTAGCCATGAGGATGCATGGCATGTAGAAGGCAATGGTTGATGCAATCACTGCGTATGGTTTATTTACAAGGAAAATGCATGAGTATGGACCGGCAAAATTTTTCACATCGGCTATAACGTTTTCTATTCCAATTGTGTTCCATTGCAACAATATCGGAATGAATGAAATAAACATGGGCACCACCCAACAACTTGCCAACATGATCGTCACTCGTCTCGACGTCATTTTCAGCGGATACTGGAAAGGGTTGCAGATCGCTGAGTATCGATCGAACGCTATGCAAGACAGATGCATGATTGACGCCGTACAAAAGGATATGTCGAAAGATATAAAAATGAGGCAAAAAGTGTCACCGTATATCCAAGTTTCAGTCACAACATTAATTGTTGAAAAAGTCATTACCAGACATGCTACCAGAATATCGGCGATAGCGAGAGAGAAAACAAAATAGTTAGTCAGTGTTCGGAGCGATGGGAAAATGAATATTGAAGCACATACTAAAATGTTCCCAGCGATTGTCAAAATGATAATAACCGTCAAAACAAACCCAATGATGATTCTTTCAGCGAGACCGTATTGCAGAACGTTCCCTGAAAGTCCCGTTGAGTTGTCGTTAACAGCTCCCACGATTGGCTCTCCTGTATCGGTGAACACTTCCAGAACATATACTCTACTGGTCTTATCTAGGGCAAATGAGTGGTATGAGATGGCGTCAGTGGAGCTCGTGATTCCTGATTCCATTTCTGCGTACAACCTCAAATATCGGCGCAGTAAACTAGCCCACGGACACGGATATATCCTGTGTCAGGTTGGCAATGTTAATTAGTCCATTGACTCGTCGCTGCCACGTGAATACGAAACGATAACACATAAATAAAGATTCGTATTCCAATCGAGTTGTTCCAATCAACCTATAATCTATTTACGAACAATAGCTGTCAATCCGCAAAACGGCCAGTGCTCCGTCTAATTCATAATATTAGCTCGAAACACGAGTTGCCTTTTCCCACAGGGGACGTTAGTTTTTACTCGCATCAGCCGTGGCAATAAATACCCTTCAGGCAGCGACGCTATCTCTTGGCAGATTGGCGTAATGTAATACGTCTCATGGTGGTGTGTGTGTCGCTCTATTGACCCCGTGTGCATATCCCGCCAGTTGAATCGTAGCACAGCTTTACACAGGCATTATATCGTGTTCCTACCGAAATAGCAGACAATCACCCCGCTCGGTGGGAATACTAACACTCTTTTTATGTGAAATCTACACAACCAGTCACTCGATCTGCAAAGTGAATAAAACATAAATAAATGAGTACACCTTAGCATAATGAACTTTATATTCCACAGCGTCCAAGTGTAAACAACGCTCTGTGTTGTTTGAATATTTGTAATTGCCCAAATAACATCGAATTACCGATGGCGTATTCTTGGAATATTTATAAAAGTAAAAATAGAGAACATGCTCGTTAAAATAACCATGATTGTCAGGAGCCGATTGAAGACTTTGACACTGAAATAACAGCTAAAGGTGCGCGAGGGCTCGGGGACAAGGATACGCAATATTAGTGAATGTTATTTCAGTATTTCATCACTAAACATCATTTTACAGGATACTATGACATACTATTTACTTTGTAAAGTAGGTTTAAACTTTACTCGGGTTACATAGCTAGGCCATGATCCCTTTCTTTCATTTTAATGTACAATTATGATGTACACGTCGTTAACAATTGGTATTTTTAGCATCCAGGGTGTAAATACCCAGACTGTTTTAGAGCCAATCACCGCGCGCTCGATTCGAGCCGAGCTGTGATAGCAGTGAGGCGGGTTAAATTACCATCAATTGAGGTCCCATTCGTGTCATTAACCCATTCAATCATTTGATTTGGTACTTTCAGTCGTGAAATTAATGGTTCTCCATAACCCTGTGTGTATACACGTTATTTTGATTACGTGCTAAATCAGGCAATTCACAATCGTGGCAAATTGAACTGTAATAACTCTGATGTCTCTGGCTCATATTATCCGATAGATACGGAGAGATGTTGCAATCCTTTGTCGTATTTAGTTTTATATTATGCAAATAAACACAATTTTTTACATTATGTGAGTGATATTTTCGTATCTACTTACATGTTTTAAGAGACTGTTCTTAGATACACGTGACGAGTAATAAGTAAAATTTGGAAGGATTGTTATGAAATGTGAACAAGTTTGTAAAATTAATTGTCAGATATACAAACATACTTATATATCTTATATCTGGTCGCTGAGATCTCGTTGTGAGCGAGAAGGCTACGTGACTTGTTTTGCTCCTCTCCCAATCCACTTCAAATTGTGCATAGAAATACACATAGTGTATAGTTTTCGTTCAATAATACCGATGCCGATCTAGTAAGCAGGATTAAATTTGTTTTGAATTATATGAGGTAGCTGCGCTTACTGATAGTCTGGTAGCCCTCTTGCGTTGGGAATAAGCTACTTTAATAAGCAGAATGCAAAATACTCAGGAAATGTTTATTGCATTTTTCGCATTTTGTTAATTAATAAATCCTCATGTAAACTTGAGCTGAAAAGAACTTGTACGTGTTAAATGGAAGTGACAGTAATATATACTCCGTAAAGCTACTCAGTAACGCGCACACTGTTATTCAATAGTGGCCATGACGTCGACAATTCGAAATGAATAACTTTGAAGTGTCCTGTGTAATCAATTTCCGTTCATGCACGACTGAATAGAGGTTAAGCGCAGTTTATGCGTTCTGGATAACATAACTCTTCAAACATTTGCAATGTTGCTATGTTTTTCTCAGTGTGCACATAACCCCCCCCCCCCTAAATGAGATAACACATAGAAGAGACTTACAAAAATGAATGACACGTTTTGCAGATCGATAAATTGCTTAATCGCTTAGTCAATACGTGAATATTTGAGCTAACATTATACAATGTAAAACAGTAATATCTAAGTTAAAATGGTCGTAACTACTTTGAAAGGAATGGTCGTCGTACAACTCGCGCTTGAATTTCAGGTAAACAAACAGCTATCCGCACCCAATAACGCGTACATTCCGCGAACAGCATCGCGTGCCACACTGTTTCAATGAGGCCTTCGAATTTAATTTAATTCAGCACGATGTCCGGGCAACGAACTGCCACGTGATAAAGTGGATTGTTTTTTATAGTTCACTGTCCTCCGATAGGTTCAGAGGCAAACAAACATTGTAAGCTTCCCAGTTCATTCAACTATTTCTCTAAGAAATAACCAGAACTCCACAGTCACAGGAGGGAATCACGCGATACGTATGTTTATTAACAAACAATGACTATAAAAAAATTACGTCTTTGTTATAAACTATGATGCGATGTCACTTTTGTGTTTAAAGTTCAAACGCATGAAATGACCTAATATATCAACTTTAGACAATCCGCAAGGTGTGTGTGTGGGGGGGGGGGGCTTCATTAGCTGTTGTCATAATGGTGGAAGAAAGAATTATGAAACCGTGATAATATGTGTACGATGATTTGCCGATTAAATGTAAAACACTCTGTCATCATTTAATGATTGGAGAGGCTAGATACACGTTATAAACAACACGTTATAATTCGATACAAGAGTCAACTGTTATAATCTGTTATGCCCAAAGAATCAAAGTGACAAACGGAATCCCGTGTATCACCGTTTTTAAAACAGTCTGTTAGTTATGATGGACAGCGGTAGAGTTCCTTCATTTTAGTAAAATTGAGACAATGGGCAAAACTCCAAATGCCAAATGATTTCTAAAAATAGCCAGAACACGTAAAATATGGGAGGACATTTCATTTATCAAAAATGATTAAATGTTCTCGCCTAGGAAAATAGTTATTATAATTACTAATAAGTGTGATGTATCCTCTCTCTATATTATATAATTTGTAACACATGTTGCTTACGTCATACGTCATAATAAATAGATTCATCAGTAATCGTCAGGATCCATTGTAAATCCATCAAGTAATCATCACCATGGACATAGACGTGCAAATATGTGTTTACGTCGACATTGGTTAAAAGAGTACATGACCTACACCTCTGCTTGACACAACCATCGAAGAGTGACTGTTCAGAAAGCAACGCACGTGCTTGGTGTACTTCGACAAATCGCAGGGGATTTCGCAATAAGAGACGACGATTAATTGAACTTGTATACAAAATGAAGTGAGATCATTAATCTAATCTATTAGTTTGTCAGGATCTTGATATAAGTCATTAGGTCCATTAAAGTCAAGGACAGGTACTATGAGGTGAATAAATATCCAATGTAAACACATTCGGTGAATATAGATATTCCAGATTCCAGATGTATCAATGCTATTTACGTGAGCTACATAATATATTAACTACAACTAGATATCATTAACAATTCAAAGAAGACGCCAGCCTGCCCTAGATCACTTCAATATTCATATCAACACTCTGAGCCACAGTTTAGGCCTTATACACATATTTACTGTTACCTTAACCTTTGACCGTAAAATGTATTGGGACTACAAAAGGTACATGTGTGTCAAGATTTAAAAACAATGGCTACCTGTTCCTGGTGGTTATATTATTTACATACATACACACACACTGCCGAAAATTCAGCCAGGTGTTTTTTCCCACTGTGTTGATAAAAAAAAACGCAGTGATTTGTGGGAGAAATGACAGTGTTGCATATATTAATTTAACGAATGCACATAATCAGACACTGTGACATCGACCTTTCACCCGATGGTCATGAAACTTGTCGTGTCCGATGGGTTAAATGTGTTCCAAGTTTGAAGTTCCTAGTTATTCCCCCTTGTAGATCAATACTGTGACCTTGACCTTTTTGACCCGGAAATGCGCCCAGTTGTTGTGAGTCGCATAGCGGAAACGTTTGACATGTCTCTTGGCCCAGGCCAATTTCCGTATGTTGTTATACACAAAGCATACATAAACTCATACTGCGATCTTGACCATTAAATCAAAATATGCCAAGGTCTTGCGAATTGCGCGGGGAAGATTTGTGCCAACTTTGATAACACTGGCAATTTTTATAGTACAACAATCTTGATCTTTGACCTTTTGACCTTAAAGGTTTTGAGTCGTGTTAGTGCCAAGTATGTACCTATTACACCAATTATACTCATCGAGTTATATAACGAACATACATAATTACAAACAGGTAATTGGAAATACCACATTTTATAGAGATATTGAAACCCACTTCTCATTAAAACCATAAAACATAACTCCAAATGCATTCAACATTGTCAACAATCTTAAAATTACATTAAAACAACACTTTTTAGTAAACTGTCACCTTACAGCCATTTACCGATTTCGGTGAGGTATCATTTATTGTATTTAATTATTGCGTCTATTGGGCAAAAATAAAAAAAACATAAAAATTCAATATCATGACAGAATCACGATAGAGTCAAAAAGGCAACAATATCGGTTATGTTCATGCGTTTTCACATTTGAGTTTACGTCAGTAGAAACAAGAATTGCGTCAGTAGAAAAAAAATAACGAACCGATTCAAAACAACTTATAAAAATCAATGAGACCTCGCAAAAAAAAGCTATAAAACAATATATTTATTTCAAATTCGGTGTATTTCCACAGTTTGAATTGTGGCGTCAAATCTAAACTGTGGGATTAAAGCTGATATCCGCTGCGATCAACAGAGTAGACTTCAATCCAGCAATGTATATATATTTTTCCGTATTATGT